CAAGATGCCGAACACCCTGAGCAGGATGCAGCGCACCCTTCATGCGACTTGCCACATACCTCACGGCGCTTCGCGCTTGGTGATGTAAGAGCCTGGTCCGGTCAGAACCCGGCGTGCTCCGTCCCGGCTTTGTAGGGATGCGAGGTCAATGGTCTAACGACTACGGCATGCACGACTATGAGTACACCCTCCCTCCTCCAACGAAAAACAAATCAGTGGCAAGCGTGCATTCGTGTCGTAAACACGCAACACAACCAGAACACAACACCTTTCTTCAATATCTGGGTATGGACAACCTCACAAGAGGCACTGCGATATGCTCCCCCGTACCACGGGTTTTCTCCATCACCAAACATGCTGCCTATCGTCGAGCAATTTCATGAGGCAGCGGGTGAGCCTTGATTGCTGGGGAAAGTTCATATTATGCACAAGCACGGGGTGTCATTGGTAAGCATTGGAAACAACGTTCGAAGGATTCCCCTCCGGTTCCACGAAAATGAAGCATGGCAATGTTTTTAACAAACACTACTTGTTCGAATTTTTCTTCAGGCGCAACGTAGCGCACAGGCAATTTGAGCACAAGAGAGCAGTATGACGAGACCAGGGGATCATTAGCACGACGAGAACGGCAGTACCGCTTGTTCTGTTCTCGTACTTCTTATCGATCATGCCCTCACGCCCCCGGCCCACCGCGCTCCCTGCTCTTCAACGGCATGTACCAATCATTGCCCACCACGTTCACAGGCCACGCTTCTTCGCGAACCTTGTTCGCTGTGCGTGTGGCCTCCAGCATCACTTCAAAATCGCGCGAGTCTTCTCGGATATGCGCCCGGACTATAGCTGCCGTAGAGAGGCGACCGAAGGTAATGGTGGCCAGCAAGACAGCTCCGAGAGATGAAGAGGAAGGGGTTGCTGGCGATTTGAAGTCGAGGCTGAAAACGACGCTGCACAAAGCTGGGAAGAAGAGGGATTGGAGAGCAGCACTGCAAACGCTCGATGAAATGAAACTGTCTCCGGGACTTGTGGACACGATGTCGTACAACATTGCCATCACGGCTTGTGGGGGAAGGCAGCTGGGGAAGGCTTTGGATCTTTTGGATGAGATGGAAGAGGAGGGGGTGACTCCCAACATATTTATTTTCAACTCGGCAATAAAGGCTTGCGGCGATGCCGACGAGTACGAAAAGGCTCTTTCTCTTCTGGACGAGGTTTTTGGACGGGGATTGTCCCCTAATCTCATCACCTACAATGCAGCTATCGGTGCGTGTGCAAAATGTGGTCGGTGGCAGAAGGCTCTGGACCTCCTAGGCGAAATGTCGGAGAGGCAAGTGGTTGCTGATGTCACAACCTACAACGCCGTCATCGAAGCGTTTGCAGGTGGGGATCAATGGGAGAAGGCCCTGGACCTCCTGAGCGACATGTCGGAGCGGGGAGTGGTCCCCAACGCTAGAACCCGCACTTTAGCAATCTCTGCTTGTGGAAAGCAAGGTAGCGGAAGAACACTTTGGGGTTATTTGGGCCAACTGAAGAAAAAGCTTTAGGTCCCCGCTGGAGGTGCAATCATGATAGACAACATCCAACAGCTTCAGGGAATATTTCTTGTACCATGAAGTAGCCGCCAGCCTCATCTTAATTTCTCACCGATTCTCCGCGTTCGACATACTCTAGGAAATCGGTTTGCGAGATCGCTCCCGTATGACAACCACAACGGAACGCGCGGGTGAGTCCGTCGACCGATGTAGTCGTCCACGCCAAGCATGGGTGACAATGGCTGCAGTCGGACAATGCCAAAAGCAGGGCGACACGAGTGAGAGCAGGCCCACTACAGGCAGCCTGTCCTCGCGGTCAGTTATTGTTGGATCAACTCAGAGTTTGCAACCGCAACCGGAGGTTGACAGCTAGAGGGCGCGACAGGGATAGAACTGCAAATCAGGCTATGACACACCCGGATAGGAGAATCTGTATCCGCTACGTTCAACGTTCACGGCTGTATTGTGTCCCGTCTGTTCGGTCTTTGGATATCGAGCATGGGACAAGATAGACAGAGCTGGTCGTTCTTGGTTTCGAGACTCCCAGAGTATTTGGAGTACTCAGCTAAGGGTGGACAGCGCAAGAGACGATTTGTTCCTCATGCTCTCTTGGGCTTGACACCAAACTCCAGGAACGGCTGTGGCCTTGCACCCGCTACGCGGCTACGCCCACGTAAGTCTGCGTCGCAATCGTACCGTGAAAACCAAATCCAGAGCGTCACCTGCCATCGGTGCAGGCCGGGTTTTGCAAACTCGCGGCCAATGTGTGGGTGTGGTGGATATGTAGGCGTGACATGATCTTGCGCTATGCGCCAGAAACGAGCCGCGATGAAAAACATGTGCTGGTGTTGTGAGTGTAATCGTCGAAGTCTGGTCGCAATGAAAACGGGAGGGTTTCGACGTAAGCCGAAAGATGCTTCGAATCTTACAAAAAGGGATTCACAAACAAGTCTCGAGAGTTGCACACCGTCCCTAACGACGTAGTTTGCAATTTCTCGTCCAATCAACGCTCTGTGGTCTTGAGCACGAGAGCATACTCGCAAGAAATCTGGGTGCCCACAGCGGGGGGTAATCAGTTCAGAAGGCAAAATAGGAAAAAAAACTCAGCATGTGCACACGCAAACAAAGGTTGTGCCGTTGCCGTTGACCGTTGGCTCTTCGTTGTAATCGAGAGGGGTGCCGAAACGAAACTTCTGAAACATACAAACAAAAAGAGAAAATCGAACGCTTTATCAACAAAGTAAACAACCCTTGTGGCGGAATATATTGTAACCTATGGTCGTAGGTGCAAACGTGTTTAATTTTTTTGCATTGGCGCGACGTGAGCCTTTCCGTCAACCCACGCTAACGGGGCTCCAAAACCGCCAAGAGCTACTACTGTTTGAAAATGTTCGACTGCTGTATTATCAGATACATGCCGAGCCCTACCACAACCATGCAGCTAAACGACGACGAGACAGAGGCAGACCACCTTGAAAGTAATAACACAACAGCTCTATATCTTCGGCGACAAGCAGCACAACTTGCGATTGGCCTACAACCGTTCAGTAACGAGATACAAGCACGCACGGCGAAGATTTCGTTTGCGCTGCAACCGGCAGAACCAGTGTCGCACGTTGCGCCGTCCACGCTTGACCACTGCACGTCCTTGCCAGTGCTTTAGGACTTCGAGGACTTCGAACACTCCATGTCGCGATTCCTAACGACGATGGCGCACCCGACGCAGCGCCCTCCAACGCCTCTACGACCTCCAGCAATACATGAGCAACTTCCCTATTCCCAATCCCCGATGGGCGAGACTGCGTGAGCTACCCACTCCCCAAGAGTGGCCGCACCGTGGCGGCACCCGACCAAAAGCCACGCGCGACAGCGAAATTTTCGTCACCGCCCTGATCGCTGCTTTTCATCGCGTCCGGCGGAGGCAAAAGGAGAGGACACGAGGCCGGAAGGCGACCGTTGCCTTGTCCGTCGCAACTCGGCAGCACTGGAGCATTGTTCAGGAGCGCAGGCACCCCCGCCGCTGGTTTGTCCCGGATGCCTTAGGTGGCTGCGATTGTCGTCGTCGTTGTACATCGGCTGGGGTTGCTGGAGCAACCCTCCCTGCTCCTCGCGTTTCTCATTCTCGTCTCCCTTCTCTTCCGCCTCTTCTCTTATGCTCCTTCGTGCTTCTTGGGACTCCTGCTGCCGCCGCCCCTCGTTGCGATTGCTGCTGCCTGTCGGTGTCGCCCGCGTCGCGTAGTTGGACAGGAGGGCGGCCGCACATTCCCCAGGCCGGGTGACCCATTCCGGGGGCTCTTCCGCAATGCCCTCCAAGGCGAGTACTTGTTGCTTCACGGCGCCATCGGCGATAGCTCCAATGCGTTGCTCGTAAGCTCCGCCACTGCCACTGGGTGTGTTTGCCATAGTGACATCAGGAGTGGCAGCGAATGGCGGCGATCTCGCTCGCGACAAGGACCCGGGAGCTCGCTGATCGCGCCCACTCTCTTTACTGCCATCTGGCTGCTGGGGCTGCTTCTTTTGCACGGAAGTGGAGGGTGAGCTGGACGGCCAGCTATTCGCGTCCAGGCTGGAGGTCTCCGGACCCAGCCGCCGGCGAGAAGAAGCAAACTTCGACGATAACGATGATGGTTCTTGGTTGTCGCCCACCGCTCGTGTCGCCTCCGCTTTGGGTATGTATTTGGAAGTTGGGCCCCCAAATCCCTCTTCAAGACTGTGAAAACCGCCTCCAAATCGCGCTGTTTGGTCTGCTTGAAATCGTGGTTCATTCGTTCGATGCTCGTCCGCAAAGATGCTCACCCCGTGCGCTTCCTCAAGCTGCGGCTGCTGCTTCTGCCCGACCAGTGCTGCATGTATTGCGCTGTTGCTGGTCTTCAAGAACTCCACGCCCGTGCTCCTGTTTCACAGAACCAAGTCAGAAGCCGACAATATTTCAGCTGCAGTTGGCGGTGGGGGCAACGCGGAGCCACATCTCTCTCGCCGTATAACAGAAGGAATGAAACCGAACCAAGCCTGCGTGCACAATGCTTTGTGGGGACATGTCCATCCACACTGGATGATAAAGAGCGCACGAGATATTGTAGCTCCTCAGCTTCGCCGTACCGGCGTATTCATCCAAAGGAGTCTACTGCAGTACCTGCCTCAGGGTCACCACTACACCTTCCAGAAAACGTGCAACAAAAGGTTGAAATGGCGCGGCAGCATGATACTCGTGTAATTCCCAACCCTTAGACAGTGTCCGCTTGTTGCAAGACCAACGGAATGAACAACAGGCAGAATGAAATAACCCAGGAAGCGTCTCATCGCAGTTGTCAAGGGATGGTGCCAGGGAACCGTGCGTGGGGCTTCCCATGAACAGCGAGCGGGTGTTGACATGGCACACACACGAAAGTGTTATTGGCGACGATTCTTGCAAAACTACCTGCCTATTGACGTTTTTCCGGCTAGACTTGTCGGGGACACATCGGCAAGACCTATCGGAAAACAGATGTACTTCAGATCGAACAGATGTCACCACTATCGGCAAGTAGAGAAAGACCAACATAGTGTTGCACTTGCGTTGTTCGAATGGTGTGTCCAACTATGGTGAGAACGGAATGTGGGGTGTGCAGGGCAAAATTCAGCATGGAATTCATGTGGGGAAGGCAGCAAATCCTCACCCCTTGACCGGGATGAAGCCCTTGCCCCGTCTCCTTGTCCAAGGACGTGCCAACAGATTAGAGGACCCAGTGTGCCCCACCTGGCCCGCGGGGTGGTGCTGTTCTTCGACCGACCCTGCCGCCTCTACGGAAGCAAGATGCCCATCCTGGGAACACTTCATTGCGACCATGATATGGGAACCGTGAGGCAAAGCGGCGGTGGCAGCATCGATACCAAACTTTTCTTTGTGTTTCAGACCCATTGCCACGGGTGTCACAATGTGGCGAAGGGCGTTAAGGGACTGTGGACAGGTGGATTGCTCACGTTTTTGAGGCATTAAGGTGTAGACCAAGACCTCACTGTCACAGCTCTTCACTATCCCATCGCGTCACCAACGCAGAGTAGCTGTATATGCAACATGCAGCGACCTCCCCTAATCTCATGCTGGTGGGACTATGCTCGAAAGCGTCTGGTCGAAAAACGACTCTGTGCTACATGCGGCGGCGTTAAGCTTGTTTTCAACCATGGTCATACCTTTACCACGCGCTATCATTTCCGTATCGCGCGAGGCCATGGTGTACCGTACCTGCTCGCTGGCATGGCCCTGTGCTACCGCACCCTGGGGCATCTCCTCCACCGAAGCTCGAGCTTCGCGTTTCGCCAGGATCGAGCCGTAAGCAGCAGCAGTAGTTACCTCGGCGTCAGTCTGAACGACAGGATCTTTGTCGCAGCCATGCTGGCCCGGCACTGCCCCCGACTTCATGCCTGTCGATTCGTTCACTTCTGGCTCACCCTCCGACTGCTGGCGTTCGAAGATCTGGACAAGGGGGGCAAGGCGCTCATCGGGATTAGGCACGGCCCAGATTCCGTGCAAAGTGCAGAACGGCTCTTCCTTGTTCTTTCCATCACCTAGGGGATGGACGAAGCCTAAACAAACCCGCCTTCATCTAATGAAGCAAACCGAAAACAACGCGAATTCAAACGGTCGAGAAAGAACACCGAGAAACGCACCGGTCGAAGTGCGTCCGAAAACCAAGGGCAGCAAACTGATGTAGGATGTATTCTTAGCCCGAACACGCCATGCAACGGCCCGCCCCGACTCTGGGAACTCTCAAACCCTGCACCATACCCATGTGTTGCGTGCCCGTCTCTCTCCCAGGCCTTCGACTTCCGACAGTCGTAAACATCTCTACCAAAACGCACCTCGTCCCTTGCGATGGTCTCCAAGAACTCCAAGATCTCCTCGAAAGTCGGTCTCATTACCGGAATCGGCGCCCAGCACTGTTCGATCAAAATCCTCAACGTCTACTTTGTTTGGTGGGTAGAGGGGCGCGGTGGACAAGAACAATAGTCATGATTATTGATAGGTCGGATGTGCTGCTCGCCGGTGTTTATCGCGGACAGTGCACAGCAGCAAAGCCGGGCTGAAATAGCTAGGTAGCCAATGCGGAGCAAGTACGGTAGTGATTGGACATTTGCGTCGCATTTATCCAGCATACCGAAAAGATCGTGGTCAAGAACCGCCCACAAGGGAGGACTGTGGTGTTCATCGACGTTCACATCCATTGTCACAATTGTTTATCGACTCTGTGTTGTTCATAGTGCGCTATTTGTCTGGCACCGACAAATGACCCTCTGAAACTTCAAAGCCGGATTGGCCTGCCCTCGCAGAGCTGATCACCCCGGTGGAAAGGCGCAAAAAAAAACTACTTGAAGTAGCTTGAAATTTCGAGGCCCTTGTGGCACCAACACCGTCTGAAAATTGGCGTGTGGGAATGACAGATCCTTTTTTTTTTCGCTCAAAGAACCCTTTTCCGCTCACGACTCTGTTAGACGGTGACATCAAGTAGAGAGATGGCTTGGCCCGGCGTTCTGAAAGCGAAAACTGCCGAGTAGGTGAATCCAACCCGCCGCTTAGACTTCTTACAAAGGAAGGCGACACAAATGCGTGCGAACTGTGTTGGCTCTCTGTTGTGGTTGTTGTTTTCGGTGTCGGCAGCTACACACCTGAAACACTTCGGATGGTAGCGTCGGCCTGAGGCCCTCGTTCACGATCTGGTTAGTGATGGCCATGTGCGTCAGGCCCCCTCCCACCCACCCCATGCCCGCGGGGGGGGTCGACCCTCTTCGAACGGCCTGCTCGAGGTAAGGGGAAGAAGGCGCAGAGAATCAACAGAACAAACGGATGGACGGCTCCTCTCTTCATTTTTCAATGCGATCTTCCAGTAGAAGGAAGCAACGAAGATGCGGAAGGTCTATTGTTCAATTCTTTCGCTCTCCACCGGACAACAAAGCACCGTCTCGTAACGTACATGAGGCCACGCGTGTCGTCAAATTCCTACAAACACCGCCGTATGCTGCAAAGCTTCCAAAACAGCACTTGGCTGTAGCCTACTCCACCACGTGTGGCGTAGCACCGATGCAAATCACCGGGGTTTATCAAGTGCCTTTCGAGTATCGCAGTACCAACCTCTTCCGCAAAGACGGTTACGACATCATCCTTGAGTTGTAGCATCGCCAAGAGCACCACCGCAAAGCTGTAGATGTCGCAACGCTCATCGTAGCAATCTCCTCGAACGATTTCCGGTGCGATGTACAACAGCGTCCCGACCTGGTAACAAATACGCACAAAGCGTAGTACGTCAGGTGCATCACCGCGACCGCACGCATGTGGTGGGAAAGTTTTCTGCGCCGTCGGGGAAATGGTGGCGCAGGAAGGAGAAGCCAAGGCGGCATGGACTCATACTTTCCAGGAAAGTGCCGTGCCGCGGAACGTCTGTCAGGAGTTCCCACCGTCTGATGATGCCGGAGAGAGGCGTACAGAAGACCGCCGGCGATGTCTACAATACAAGACATGCCTTGGAGTCAAAACGAACGTGTGGGCTCAAGAGGCAAACGTGTCTCGGACGGAATAGTGGAGGGGACCAAATCAACGAGGTACGCTGTTGAAGCAACATATCCACTCCATACCGCTAGGCGATATCCGACGTCAGAGTTCTAGCATGCAACGTGTTCATGCTGCACCCGAGTACGTGGTTCGACGATGGCCAAGAAAAAGGGACGGAAAAGAAATGGCAAGGTAAAACTTCAAACCCTAATCGGCAAGAATTAGGTTGACGGGAACGTTCTCCGGCGTAAGCGGGTAGCTTGTATTGGCTGAGGAGGGCCTATGCAACCCCGTTATTCGCAATAACAAATCAAAAAACAGATGAAAGGAAACACACAACAAATACCGCACCCTAGAAAAGAACCCGTGCGTATTCGTGAGTCGTGTGTCGGTTTGTCTGACACGTACGAGTGAAGCCGAGAGGGCGTCAACGAGATTCATATTCCGATTCTTGTTCGGGCTCCAACGCGAACCGGCGGAAATAATACACGGGCCGGTTCACACGTACCGGCGATTTCTCCCGCAAACGGTAACCCTTACTTTTTTGCTTCTTGAGCAACTGTTATTCGAAGCCGGTAACTCCGAAAAAAAAAAGTGCCCCCGGTAAGGTAATCTTGTCTTAGGGTGCAAGGCCAGCTTGGGCGGTAAGCGGCCAACCTACTGTTAGGGGTGTCAAAGCGGCGGAATTTGGGGCCAAAAAAACGTCCGGTCCATTCGGCAAAATTTGAGGGGGGCACGCGGATTTGGTTCTTTTTTGGTTCTTGAGAATCCCGCTGTTAATACTGAATAAACTATACATCAAGTCAATTTGTTTGTACAGGTAGCTCTGCGTCCACACAGCAGGATGGCTCTTCATGCGTTACACACACCTTGATACAGGTCCAATAGAGGTGACTATAGGATTGGATTCTCTTGAAGTTAAAGGGCGGACGAACAACACCAAAAAAACATGGTTCTTTGGGCTCTTTGCTCCACGCCCAAGGCGACCTTTGCTCCTCTTGAAAAAGCGACCCAATAGCCCTCTACCTTGGGTTTACAGCTATACTACACAACAAACCGCATCCGAATCGCATCAGCCAACCACGAGATCTACTTGTCTGAAAACGGCCCCTCCAGGGGGGCTGCAGTGCCCACACCAGCAGACCCTCCCAAAAAAAAAATCGAGGTCCGCGCCGTTCGGCAGCAGGAGGCGCGCTGCGCGAAAGCTGAATCAAAACAAAACGAAGTTTGAAGAAAGGACGGGGCAGTGTATGGTTGCCACGTCAGCAGAAGATAACACGCGGCGCGCTATCGAACGCGGCAGCCTCCCCGTCGTAGAGAGAACGCTGGAGGAAACGAAGGAGGAGTTGGTCAAAAATAAGAAAATTGTGGAAGAGAGCCAGGCTCAACGTCGTTGCCGCCGCCGCCGCCGCCGCCGCTGCTGCTGCTGTTTTTTCAGCAGCAGCAGCGGCGGCGGCAGGTGTCTGCGTGGCTTCACCGCCCGGCTGCTGCCCGGGTGTGTCATGAGGCATGTGTTCTAGAGTGGGACCGCGCAATGGTGTTGTGCTGTGCCACATAGCAAGGCGCAAAGCACACAGGCGAGCCGCGCCCTTGCGCGTGTGCGTCAGCGGGTCTTTTCGGGAGGTTCCGACGGTTTCGTGCAATTTCATTGGTTGGTCGATTTTCCATCAGCAAGATCCGAGGACGCTTTTTCGAATTTTTTCCTATAGGAAATTTTCCGCTTTGACACCCCTAACTGTGGTGTTATACGCTCGTACGCCAACACTATTATCGCGGTAATTCATGGCGGTAAACTCATCGATGGGCACTCTGAATGTGGTCTCCACGTTTGCCATCAAAAGCAACAACAGGCACACCAGCCCCAAGGAGTGGTGTTTCACAGAAAAATCGATTTCCAACCTGAATGTCGCGCGGATCATTTCCCCTTCCAGTGGCTGCACCAAAGTCCGAGATTTTCACCCGGTAGTCGTGAGTCACCAGCAGGTTCTGCGGCTTCAGGTCCCGGTGGATGATGCAGTCGTGCATCGAGTTGGACAGCTCGTTGAAATGCCTGCGCAAGAGCAAACGCAGATGAACGGGCAGCTCAGCCAGCGCGACCACAACGGTAGCAGCAGCAGGGAGACTGCTGATGGGACGAAGCGAGGCCACCCCTTCTCTTCTGTGCCAGCAACGGGGAGACGGCAAGCGCATATGCCCCCCCCCGGAGACCAACTCAAAAGGGAAACTACCTTTGGGTGGTATCAACATTGCCCCTCTCATATACGGAATAGCCTACAGGGGGGTGGGGGGCGGTGGAGAGAGAAAACGAGAAGGTTGTCCTCTCAGAACGAACGGAGTGAAACCGACGAGAGACGACAAGGGACGGTGAACACGTTTCATAAGGAACAAGGGGGCGGGTATTTTGAAGCACAACAACAGCAGTTTCACACACTCCGGAGTGGAGTCAAGCCAATATCCAATCAACGATTATCGGTAAATCAAGCCAGAACATGGGAACCAGATCGACCCCGTGCAGCGCAAAGCTTCTGCTTGCCAAACGTGTGTTCGAAGAAGCGTCTCTAGGTTTGACTGACTTCAGGCGGATTTTGTCGACAGAGTCCGGTGGCCATGCATGCTGCACGTTTGAAAAACGTTTAGTATGTACCCGAAATGATCCGTTTGACTGTAAAGAGTTGACAACGCCTGCCTGCCTGCACGTGTGACGAGCGTTGTCGCTATCACAGCAACAAACTGGACCCGACACAGAACTACCATTTTCAACACACTTACTTGAAGCGATGCAGGTACGCCATGCCATTGGCGATGTCGAGGCACATGCGAAACTTATGCCGCGGCCACGACAACACCGGGGTTTCTTCCAGGACCTTGGCCAAGTTTCCCCTCGAGACGAACTCCAGCTGGGCAAAGGAAGAAAACGAGATATTAACTATATTGAACGAACTCGCACTTACACACGTCCAACGTCGGCCACGCCTTGTGTATAGGGTTGTTGCAACGCCGTGGAGGCAATTCTTGAGAATCTGTGCTAAAGGTTTTTTGCTCGAGGCTTGCGATTTTCGCCGGGGTGTGCGTTGTCGGGATGGCTTTTCGCGCTGATTTTTGGCCAAGTTCTCGTTCGATACACGCCCCATACCAACATCTAAGATAATACGAAAAAACTGGATAGGGAAGAGACACGATGAAAACAAGAGAACAGAAAAAAAAAAATGTCAAAACAATGGGCTGGGTTTGCGGCGCTTCGGCGGGGTGGTGGCGACCTCTGATACGTATCAAACAGTAGTTTAACGCGTGCATTTGGGCGCCTTGACACACACATTCACGCGCGTAGCACGACATGACGGTGGCAACCAGGATTCGCGACACGAAAAAAGTTGAACAACGTCACGTGCCAGGTGTCCTACAGGTTAAAACGAAGTTGAAACGAAGAACAGCGGACTACGAAACAGAGGGAAAAACGTGGCATACGAGATCTGAAAGCAGGTCCCCGAAAACTCACGATCATCATCAGCCTCGGGCCGCGCCACGTCGCTCTCAGCAAGCGCACGATGTTCGGGTGGTTGAAACCCTTCGAGGAGGCGAGCAACAACACAGCGGGGAGAGGGTGTGTGTGGCGTCAAGCGGTGGTTGTAGCAATCCCAACAGGAGGTTGGGGTCAATTTTCCTCGTGTTAACAATGGTACAACTTTTGTGCTCCTTGATCATGTACCCCGTGGAAGCAGCGTCACCAGCGACCGCACGCCGCGTAGACATGACCGTTGACCACCTTGTAACGCAACGCATCCCCGTTCGCAAATGACAGCAATTGCTTGCTTCGATCACAGCTCCACCAAGCGCGGGGAACAACAGTGCTCTCAACACATGACCTCGAGAGGTAAGACGCACAACCCCCCGCCTTTTAGTTGTACCCTACTTTTCTTAACACCGAAAAGGTGAGTTTTTAGCGCCGTAGAACACGATTCTACATACATGACCAGAACGGTGCCGGACCGCCCGTGCTGGCAACGTGGGAAAGCAACCCTTTTCGCGCGCGGGGGCGGGGAGCAGCGGCAGAAAGAAGTATATCGACAACTCTTGGTGCACGATACAGACTCCTCGATTCGCTTGAGTTATATTCAAGAGTCCCAGAAAAAAAAATCCACGCACACAAACGTCCTAAGCTTTGACGACCACTCTTCTTGATGCTATTTTCGATGCACAACACGAGTGGTTGAAAGAGATAAGAAAACTCCGTCCACCACAACTGGGATAAATGACGAGAGCAAGTGCAAACCAAAAATAACACCACCTCGACCTGTTGGAGGGGCATGTTTGCTTGCAATGGTTCAGGTATCCCGTGCACGTATCTGGTTTGAAGGCCTCAATAAACGTTGCCACCAAAAATACCAGGGTAGTCCTCGGGAAAATTCCCGACGTTTTTTTCCCGTCGTGTAGGTCGGATACGGTACTCCGCGGAATACCGTCATATTCGGCGGTACCGTGAACCGCCGAAGGCGGTACCGTCAAAAAACGAAGTACCGTCATCCGTAAAAAAAGTACCGTCATTGTTCAATACCGCCGAAAAAGTACCGTCAAAAATCGAAGTACCGTCAACCGCCAAAAAAGTACCGTCATATTTCGGTACCGTCAAAAAAGTACCGTGACATTGCGGTACCGTCAAAAAAGTACCGTCAAAAAACGAAGTACCGTCAACCGTCAAAAAAGTACCGTCAAAAAACGAAGTACCGTCATCCGCCAAAGTACCGTCAAAAAACGAAGTAGCGTCAAAAAACGAAGTACCGTCGACCGTGAGGCATTGCCAGCTGGCATATGTTTTGCCCTGTTGACCTGCTGCGGATAGGAACTAGAGTTCGAATTCGCGTCTGTACATATTTTTTTTTGTTTTTCAGCTGTTTTTTTTTTTCTTCGTCTTTTTTTTTTCTTGTTGATGGTTCTATCCGGCTGCTTTGTTACGTTTGGGTAGAACCTTTTTCTTGGTATTGACTTGGAAGTTGATGGTCGCGCAAGAGAAGAGCGGCCTGCAGCCACACAGACCCCACCCGCGGTCCAAAGAGTGTGTGCGGTCCAGCAGAACCAGAAAGATGGCAGCTGTACAGGGGAATGCCGGTGGTACTAGCAGCAGCAGTGTCGAGGCTGCTGGTGCTGCTGCTGGCGATTCGGTGGATGGGGATGGAAGTGAATCGGTGGTTCCGAGCGTGCCAGTGTTGCAAGTATTACTGTCCCGTTTGGTACCGTCAAAAAAACTGGTACCGAGGACTACCCTGAAAAATACCTTCATGATGAGAACCTCGAACCAGAAGTGCTTGAGGGTCGAAGGTCGAGCGTCCCGCGGGATTTTCACCGCTACCTTGGCCGCACCTTCCACACAAGCAAAGAATTCAAGAGGTTGCCAGGGAAACATGTCAACAATATGTTCCTCTTCGGCGGGTGGATGGTTGTTGCGACGAATCTGTGTTTCGGACGATTCGACAGCTTCGATGTGGCTTGTCAACTACAGGTTCTCCAGTCCTCCATTCCAAAAAATAACCAGGAGACCTATTTTCGGCTGATTGTCAAGCAGCACACCAATTTCCCAGAGTTCCATTGTGTCATACGCATGAAACGCATTGGTTCATTCGTTTGAGAGAGGCCCATGAAAGGTTGCTAAAATGTCGATGTTCCCTAGGAAGTAAAATGGAACACACACATCTGGCAGGAAAAGAACACGATAACCAAAATTTACTTGGTGGAGATAGCTTCCGCTTCCGCGGAGAAGGACTGAAAACCCGGGGATGGGCGCGAACGCCTGCTGCACCTGTTCCGACAACTCCCTTCGTGTCGAAGAGGCGCCCTTGTCGGACTTGCGCGAAAGTCCCGGAGCCGATTATCTCTCCCATGCTCACGAGGCTGGCATCCACCTCCACCTGTTTGTAGGTGCAGTGGCAAAACGCGCGCGCGCAAATTGACTTACATACGAGACCAAGAAAACAACATTGTTTCATGTTAATGTCTCGAAATCTTGGTGTAATCATTTCATGGCCCGCTTCGTATGGATTCATCCCCGATGTGCCTGGATTTTGATCCCGACATAGAAGGTAACAACCTTGTTGAGTGTGAACCAAACCACAAGCTCAAACGAACGGTCCGAGCTCGACTAGATCAGAGGCTTGAACTTCATCTACAGCTAAATTGTTTTCCGTCTCCACAACCAGAACAATACGAGCGCGGTAACACACACACAGCGCGAGGACGTGCCGTGCCTTCACCACAAATATCGTCAAACACGAAACCCGCGTGCACGCAAGTGTCTGAGCTCTAATCCCCGCTTCTTGTACGAAACTAACCTCCTCCAGAGCCTCCCTCGCACGAACGCTGATGTTCTCGAGCTCTTCCTGCACCATCTGAAGCTGTGCTGCGCGCTGTAAGGCGAGCGACGCGGTCTTCCGGACCGCGGCGGGAGAAATCGCGGCCCCGCCCACCCAATGATGAGGAACATCCCAACCCCCGCGATCCCCTCCTCCCCCCGCCGCTTCTGGCCTCGATGTCCTTGTGTTTCGGCTTTCCCATCCAGCTATCCCTCCTCTATCCGCCATAGTTGGCGGTGCGCTCTCCGAGCTTGGTGCCTGGGCCGGAGCAGGAGAAGAGGACTCCAGCCATGCACGGGACCCAACCGCCCTAGTTCTAGCCGCGATGCCGCTACCAATGCTGCTGTCCCCACTACCACCGCCGCCGTCGCTGCCGCCGCCTACGCCGCTGCCGCCGCTGCCCAACCACCGCTCCGGATTTTTCACCGCGGCCTCCGCGGCGGCAGCAGCAGCAGCGGCTGCTGCTATTGCCACTGCCGTCAGTGCCGCCACCGACCCCCCCGGCACTGCTCCTCCCGCCTCCGCCGTCCTGATAGGATCGCCTGCGAAATTCGGACGAAGACTCTCCGCCGAAGCTGCACTGCCCGGAGCACCAGAGCCAGCTACTCCTCGGGTTAAGCTCTCACTACGCGGCGGCGGCGGCGGCGGCGGCGGCGGCGGCGACATCCGGTTGTCCTCTCCTTCCACGCTTCTCGCTTCCCCGGTACTTAACCCGGTTGGCGTCAGCCTGCTCGTGTCAGCGATCACCCCCGCCGCCACCGTACCCGCGGTCGCACGCGCCGTCACTGGAGAATCGCCGATAACCGCCGTCTGCTGCTGCCGGGAAACGGGAGGTTCTACCACGGAGGGGGGCAAGGAAGGGGAGGGTAACCCGGGGCGCCGCACTCTTGTGGTGATTTTATCGCGGGGCGCTGCTGCCGCCAGCGTGAGCGCCACGCCGAGCAAGGCTGCTAGCGCCAGGGTCAGCAGCGGGCACGTGAATGGAGACTTGGACAAGCAGTCGAGCGCAGCTAGAAGACCGTATGCGCCATCGTTCCGGTTGTTTCCACAGCCGATGCCGACGCTCACACAGCCGGCGCCGCCATAGGTGCTGACGGTGCTGTCACAAGGATAATGATCATCCTTGCCTAGCGTAGACTGTGTACGCGACGGTGGTCTTCGCCCGCCGCCGTCAGGCAATGCCCCGGGACAAGCAGTCACTGCCGACAACGAGGCGGGCCATTGCATTTGTCGTAGAAGCTGGTGTGCCATGATCCGCCGTTCGTTGTTGTTGTTGTTCATGGCAACATTGATGTCGTTGGTGTTGATGTCATGGGTGAACATCATCGTTGTCCGTGCAGCCGTCATTAAGTAGCAAGGAATATTGGCGGATTTCAGCCGTCAACGATTGCGTGTTGTTCGCGTAGTCGCGAGACGCAGGAGGTCGCCACCCCGCCAGCGTGGTGAACACAAGATACAATGGTAGAAGCACGCGAACATCGTGTGACACGTTGGGAAAAGGAAGGAGGGGGTGAGGGCGCATGATTCACAAAGGTTTTTCGGGATTTTTTATCCGCCGCTGTACCGCCAACACAATTGCACCCGCGAGCAATCAACGAGGCTCAGAACCCATATTCCGCAATGTAGCCTGGTCGAATCAAAAACCACCGTCGCTGATTCTTATACCTAACAATTGAGCTTCCGGCCTGGCAGCAATCGACCAGCAACGCTCGACCCGCTCGGCCAAGCAACCCTGCAGCCCACATACCACACGCTCTAACTTGGCCGCTCGAACCAACCTCACTCTTCCATGGACGACCCTTGAGACGCCCAAGCTGTTTCACAAGAAAAAAAATACTCCAACGGCGCACCCCCATCCCGTCCACAACCAAGACCGGAGACCTCTCACCTGTACCGTCTCAGAGGCGGAGTCGTACCTCGCCGCCTCCTTCCCCGAAACGAAAGAGATGCCGTACGCGGTGACACCTTCCATCAGCCGGAACGAGACGTCCATCCCCTTGCGGTTACCGAGATCGTCCATCTCGAGCTGTTTGACGCCAAGGGACAGGCAGCGGAAGCAAAGAATGGGCGTCGAAAAGAGTAAGGGAGCCGGCAACGGGATACCGCTACATGCTGTCGTGGCTAAAGGAGAGGTGCATGCAGCGCACGTGTGGAGTGGCCATCAGCAACCCCGAGCTGGTGGCTGAAAGGGTGGGTGTGCAGCGAACACCAATCACGCCCCCGGCTACACTCGACACGATATCAACTCTTCGGGTCTCTAGATAAGCTGCTTCCGCATGTACACATGACGGAGAGCTCGATAAGTTGCGGTAAGGCATGGGAGAAAGACGAGAGAGACACGAAGGTACTTGGGAAAAATGAAACACACCTTTCGCTCACGCAGCTGCCTAGTAATGTTGCGCACGGATGATCCGGTAGGTGGGTGTCGCTTGAGAATTAATTTCTTCTCCGGTGAATTCTTCTTTTCTACACAGTGGCGTTCTAGGGCCGGGAAAGGGCGGTGTTTCGAGTGGTTTGATTTTTCCCTTCACAAAGGGCTTGTGAAGACCTGAGCCGCGTTCCGAAACAGGGCCTCGACTAGTTCAACGGAACTGGGCAAAAAACAAGACTGCCCTGCACCGAACACAACAAAAAGCTGAGAATGACTCTCGAAACCTGACGGGGGGGGAGTGTCCGTGCGTGCAACGAAGTTGTCCAGCCGAGCCGTCATCCTACGCCCAGAGAGAGTTGCACAAGCGGGGTACTGCAGCCTCCACTATGCACAGTCTAGACGTTGCGAAACTTCGGCGTCGCGGCAAGACGCAATCAGCCACCCCTGCTGGGCGCGACGCGCTGTGACACGTGTAACCCTCGGACAAAAAAACGCACCTTGCCAGATAGACCCTCGAACCCAACGCCGGCTGCCAGCCCAGCCCATCCGCCGTCTCCGACCATCCCACCTCTTCTGCCCGCCGCGGCGAGGACGCGCATGCCCAGCTCGACGGCGTCAAACATCAGCGCGGTCGCCGTGAGGAGCCCCCGAGGGACGCCATCGTCGGGGCTAGAACGGTAGTCTCCGGCTGCTCCCGGGCAAACCCTGCCGCCGCCCCCGCCCCAGCGATTCGTCTCGTCGACGTCGACGTCGACGTCCTCTTCGACCACTCCTACCGCTGCTCCGCCACCACGTCCGTCAGAGCGGTAGCCAGAGGTATCACAGCAGGGTGACCACGGAGCGGAACAAGCCCCGCCAGCGGGGCTGCTGCTGCTGCCGCCGCCGCCGCCGGCCCCGCAAGCAGCGGGTGAAGGTGGTGTCCCCCGTGGCCCTGAGGGACCAGAGCCGGGGACCACCGGAGACGCATCTCCCGCCGGCGGCGGGAAAAAATCTGACGCAGGGCTCTCGCGTCCGAGAGCAACGGCGGGGTCAACGTAAGCTTCCGCGCTCGTGCGGGAGGTCGGCATCAGCGCCCAGTCTATCGACAGGGCGCCGGACATCGAGGAGAGGGCCAGAGCGTCTCGTCCGTCGTCTCTGCCCGCGGGAGTGTTTCGTCGTGTAGAGGACACCGGGTGGTGAGGAGAATGCCGGACAACGGAGCGGCAAGGACAGAGAGGTTGTGGAATCAAGAGGGTGGAGATGGTACAGAAACAACGAGAGAACGATTTTTGCCGCCCGAGGGAGATTAAGACAAGGCGATGGTCTTCGCGCTCCCAGTTCTAGCCTCTGTGAAACACCCGCTACCGTGAAGAGCTACGTAAAAAAGACGGTTCTATTTAGTCGGAGCCTCCGTTACGAAAGGCAATCACACCAACCGAGGCGAAAGAGCATCAAGTGGTCTTGGGCGACAAGTTGATCAACTGCAGCTGACCAGGATATAGAAGACACTACACAGCGAAAGCAGCAGTGGCTACATCAAAATACCTGCGTTGGAACTTTGTCTACCTTGTCGAGATCTTTCCTAGAACGTTTATCACTTGATTGTGGCCTTCTCGTCGTCGTGGAGCAATCGAACTTTTGAAGTTGGTCCAGGGGGCGTGGTAACTTATCCAACCTCCTGAGTGCAGCGTGTGAACGCGAGAGCACGCGCACGCTAAGGGCCGTGTCTACCCTGCTGGCTTGAGGTACCGAACTACGCACCTCCCGCAAGCGGCCGCGCTGGCATGGCATGTCGGATCACGCGCTGCGGACAGGAGAAGCCACGCTCGCTCCGACTTGAGGCCCCGCATCGCCGCGAACGTCATAACCTATTCGTGTGTGTTGTTGTTGGTGGTGTTGACGGCATGGGCAATGGCATCAGAGGGACGTTGTATTCCAAGTTAGTGTAGAACCACCCCTTTGCGGCTGCGGAAGGAATACCACTCGGGGTCGGCAAGCCGCACTTAATTAGTTGTCCCCACTAAGGCTACGGAAAAATTCAGGGGTTTCAACCCGCACTCTACGGCAGGCTCCCTGACCGAGTCTGTCGACGACGGTGGCGGGGCAAACAGAAAGGGCGCACGGAGGTGTGGATGAAGTAACCATACGCGATGAAAGCACGTGCCAGTTCGTCCCATCTATTCTGGCGCCAGTCTACACATCTGTCGGTGTGTATTTATGATGCATCAGTCGGGGTCACACAGGCAGAAGGTCCCCCAAGAACTCTACATGTTCTTATTCATTTTTTCGTGAAACAAACACAATCGTGTACAAATAGTGAGACGTGGTCGCTGCTTGAGCCCCGTTCTCAACAGGGCCAATCCCCGTTCCCCAACCCACCCTCCCACGCCCCTGTTTGGTTCACCTGGCGGTAGTCGGCGCATTCGCCCAGAACGATCACCACGTTGTCTCTCCCCGCTCGCACCGCCTCCACCGCTTTGCGAACTCCCTTGGCATCCCCCGCGCCCGCCTTGCAAGATTCGCCGCCGTCGAACCCGGCGTATACGCCCACGGGGTCCCCTTGCCCCTCCAGCACCCGCCTCATCTTTGTGGCGACGAAAGGGCACGGGAGCTTGGTTTGTACTTGGTGGACAGAGTTGTGTCGTGTCCTTGCACTCCGACACGAAACAAAGTGAAAGAGCAAAGGATTGAAAAAAGAAGCGGGGGGTGTTTACACTTGTGCACGAATCAGTTTGATGATTTCGTGCTTCGGCATATCGTTCCCTCGCGGCAGCAAGATTTTTCTCATGCTCGCTTCTCAGGGACACGCAGGGGGGCTCGTCGGTACAGTACCGCGCATGCCCGAGGACCGCCAGCCATCCGCGGCACGTGCAATCGACGTTCAAAGTCGCTGAGACAAAGATCCATGTGGAACATGTGCGATATGGGCGTCGATCGGGGGTCTGTTGGCACTTTAAGCCCGCGCGTGTGTGTGTGCGGGGGGGGGGGGGGGGGG